TATATAGCATATTTTATATTTGTGCAGCACTTTCTAACCACAAATCTTTTGGGAAAAATACACTTTAATGAATTTGAACGCACAAAAATGCAATATAATACCCTATTGTTTGGTAAAATATAAAGGATGATATTATGCCAAGTATATAAATACCTTACCTGTCACACTTTAAAATTGCATATGGCTGTAGAACAGCACAAAACTGTGGTACCTAATAATTTCCACACTTTAAAAGCCTTTATAGGTTGCTAGTTTAGAGATACACAGGAGTTTCCAATGATACTTTACATGTGTGGCGCAGTCATTGCTTACATATGTGTGTGGGACTTACATGCACGTTCGCATTTGTGCATAAGCTTGGGAAAACAGGGGTGCTTTACTTTATTAAAAACGTTATTAGTTATTTTATTTTTTACTCTTAATTTTTTTTGTTTTGCTTTACTTTACCCCTGGTTCACATCTGTGCGGGTGGTGCCGCTGCGGGAATCGCACAAACACCTGCAGCCGCACCACCCACACAGAAGAATGCAGGACACGCAGGCGGGTGCCATTATTCTCATGGCACGCTGCCCACACTGGAAACCGCAACCATACTGGTAACCTCAGTTCTCATGCGGGCTGCGATTTCCAAAGTAGTGCAGGGACTTCTTCCCTGCATGTCCCGTGGGCACAAGAGTCCGTTCAAATGAATAGGCTCTCATGCCCGTGCAAATCGCGGCCCGCACGGCCGCACAGATGTATACCAGGGCTTATTGCTATTACAAGGGATTAACATCATCCCTTGTAATAGCGTGGTGTGTGACAGATCCTGTGTTTGGAGATATGGGGTCTATTAAACCATAGATCTCTCCTCTGGCCTCCAAAGCATCTGATCAAACTGAACCGGTAATGGCTTGTTTACATGAGACCGGAACCAGAAGTGACTAAATCCTTGTCGCTTCCAGTGTCAGTGGAGCAACATCCATGCTGGTTGCATCCTTCTTCCACCTGTAAAAGTGACCCAGGGGCTGTATAGCTGCTGGGATCACTTTTACATTGTAAGGAATCACCGGATGAAAAAACGATACCAGGGCATGGTTCAGGGGTGGACTGACAACTCATGGGGCCCCGGGCAATAGGGGATAATGGGGCCCCTGTGTCCTTGCCCAAACTCAAAAAAGCCTATGATAAAGGTACCAGGGGCATCCTATGGGGCCCCCTACTGACCCCGGGCCCTCGGGCAGTGCCCGAGTTTCCAAATGGTCAGTCCGCCCCTGGCATGGTTGTACCCTCAGCCATGATCCCGGTATCACCACTTCAACCTTAGGCCATTTATAAATGGCCTAAGAACGGGAAGTGGTTAAGAGACAGGAAACAAGTAGAACTCTCCAACAGCAAGACTCTCAATTTTTGCAATGCAAAATGCATTTCTTTTTTTAGGTGAGTTGGGGAAGGCAAGAACCCTTGTTAGATATTTATTTCAGTCCATATGCCTGTTGTAGATTTTCTCTCACTTCCTAACTGGTAAAACCATTGTAACTTGGAGTCATGGATAGCAGTAAAACCTGTATACTTGCACATTAAAGCAATATACAGTGCTATGTTAACCTCTTGTGGCCCATGTAACGCATACAGTCAGGTCCATAAATATTGGGACATCGACACAATTCTAACATTTTTGGCTCTATACACCACCACAATGGATTTGAAATGAAACAAACAAGATGTGCTTTAACAGACTGTCAGCTTTAATTTGAGGGTATTTACATCCAAATCAGGTGAACGGTGTAGGAATTACAACAGTTTGCATATGTGCCTCCCACTTGTTAAGGGACCAAAAGTAATGGGACAATTGGCTTTTCTCAGCTGTTCCATGGCCAGGTGTGTGTTATTCCCTCATTATCCCAATTACAATGAGCAGATAAAAGGTCCAGAGTTCATTTCAAGTGTGCTATTTGCATTTGGAATCTGTTGCTGTCAACTCTCAAGATGAGATCCAAAGAGCTGTCACTATCAGTGAAGCAAGCCATCATTAGGCTGAAAAAACAAAACAAACCCATCAGAGAGATAGCAAAAACATTAGTCGTGGCCAAAACAACTGTTTGGAACATTCTTAAAAAGAAGGAACGCACCAGTGAGCTCAGCAACACCAAAAGATCCAGAAGACCACAACAACTGTGGTGGATAACCGAAGAATTCTTTCCCTGGTGAAGAAAACACCCTTCACAACAGTTGGCCAGATCAAGAACACTCTCCAGGAGGTAGGTGTATGTGTGTCAAAGTTAACAATCAAGAGAAGACTTCACCAGAGTGAATACAGAGGGTTCACCACAAGATGTAAACCATTGGTGAGCCTCAAAAACAAAAAACAGGAAGGCCAGATTAGAGTTTGCCAAACGACATCTAAAAAAGCCTTCACAGTTCTGGAACAACATCCTATGGACAGATGAGACCAAGATCAACTTGTACCAGAGTGATGGGAAGAGAAGAGTATGGAGAAGGAAAGGAACTGCTCATGATCCTAAGCATACCACCTCTTTAGTGAAGCATGGTGTGGTGGTAGTGTCATGGCGTGGGCATGTATGGCTGCCAATGGAACTGGTTCTCTTGTATTTATTGATGATGTGACTGCTGACAAAAGCAGCAGGATGAATTCTGAAGTGTTTCGGGCAATATTATCTGCTCATAATCAGCCAAAAGCTTCAGAACTCATTGGACGCCGCTTCACAGTGCAGATGGACAATGACCCAAAGCATACTGCAAAAGCAACCAAAGAGTTTTTTAAGGGGAAAGAAGTGGAATGTTATGCAATGGCCAAGTCAATCATCTGACCTGAATCCGATTGAGCATGCATTTCACTTGCTGAAGACAAAACTGAAGGGAAAATGCCCCAAGAAACAAGCAGGAACTGAAGACAGTTGCAGTAGAGGCCTGGCAGAGCATCACCAGGGATGAAACCCAGCATCTGGTGATGTCTATGCGTTCCAGACTTCAGGCTGTAATTGACTGCAAAGGATTTGCAACCAAGTATTAAAAAGTGAAAGTTTGATTTATGATTATTATTCTGTCCCATTACTTTTGGTCCCTTAACAAGTGGGAGGCACATATGCAAACTGTTGTATTTCCTACACCGTTCACCTTATTTGGATGTAAATACCCTCAAATTAAAGCTGACAGTCTGCAGTTAAAGCACATTTTGTTTGTTTCATTTCAAATCCATTGTGGTGGTGTATAGAGCCAAAAATGTTAGAATTGTGTCGATGTCCCAATATTTATGGACCTGACTGTATGTATGATGGCAGGGAAGGTGGGCCTTAATGCCCACATTCTGAACATACGCGCTCATGGCTGATGAGGTCACTGAGCAATGTACAGCTGCTTCAGATTCTGTCTGTTCCAGTTTTAGTAAATTCCCCCTTCCCCTAGTTCTTTGTTCATGCAATATGCAAACTAAAGAAGAAACAATTTTGATGTAGATTTCCATGATGTAGATGCATAATTAATATATTTTTGTGCATGTGCCATTTCAGTGTGTCTGTTTAATGTGTTTAAAACACACAACAAATCATTTGCATGCAGTAAAAGGTGCAGACTTCAGTGCAGGAAAATGGACAAGTATGAATGAGAGCTTAGCAGAGGATATCCTGTATTTACGAATCCTATGTTGTGTCTGCGTGGTGTATATTAACAATGGTGTCTACCCGACGACCATTAGATTGCTACAGATGCCGATCACTCTTTTAAAGTGTTTTGGTGCCCTAAAATCCAAGTTATTTTTAGAAGATCCAAGTCTTACTATGTGGAAAAAGACATGGGCTATGTTTAGAAGTTCGTATCCGCTAACAGACTTGTCCTTGAAGTGACACACACTGCAAATATCCCCGACACACTTTCAAGTCTCAGCAGAGCTCCAGCTTCTTAGCAACAGAGACCAAATTGTCAAACAGTACTGATCTTCATCTATGAGCAATCAAATTGTAGACGACATCCTGGATCTCAGTTCAGTCACCAAGTTCATATTTTCATACACAGATAATATGCAGTATGACTTAAGCTGGCCATACATTATACAATTTTCTTTAGATTTACCTTCAACTATGTAGTGCAAGGGTCTGCCTGTTTGCATTCAAAATGAAAGTGTTTCGGTTTGACCTCATATTATATGATTTTGGTAAATCTAAAGGAAAATTGTATAATGTATGGCCAGCCTTACAGTACGTACTTTCTGGCATTATAGCATGTTATTTTTGAGCTTAGGAGACTCCAGAGATATTCATTAACACTTAGAGTTGCATTAACCGCTTCCCGTCTGCCCTATAGCAGAAATACTGCTACAGGGCAGCACAGGTGCGCAAAATCATGTATATATACCTGATTTTGCATTCGCGGCCGCGGCTGTCAATCACCAGGACCTGGCTGGTAATATCTCGCCGGCGCCCGGTGATTGTCGAGGATCTCTGATGGGAAGGAGAACTGTTTGTAAACAAAACAGTCCTCCTTATTTTTGAGCTTAGGAAACTCCAGAGATTTTCATTAACACTTAGAGTTTCATTAATCGCTTTCAGTCCACCCTATAGCAGAAATACTGCTACAGGGCGGCACGGGTGCGCAAAATCACGTATATATATGTGATTTTGCATTTGCGGCCGTGGCTGCCAATCACTGGGACCTGGCTGGTAAATATCTCGCCGGCGCTCGGTGATTGTCGAGGATCTCCGACAGGAAGGAGAACTGTTTGTAAACAAAACAGTTCTCCTTATTTTTGAGCTTAGGAAACTCCAGAGATTTTCATTAACACTTAGAGTTGCATTAATCGCTTCCCGTCCGCCCTATAGCAGAAATACTGCTACAGGGCAGCACGGGTGTGCAAAATCACGTATATATACGTGATTTTGCATTCACGACCGCTGCTGTCAATCACTGGGTCCTGGCCAGTGATTACTCGCCGGCGCCCAGTGATTGCCGAGGATCTCCGACGGGGAGGAGAACTATTTGTAAACAAAACAGTTTTCCTCCCTATGAGCTTGTGCACACTAGCTTGCATGGCTGTGCACAGCACAGCCATCCAAAGCAGTGTGCTTACAATGAAGCACAAACACATGGCCCCCCAGTAAAACACACCCAGCACACAGTTAACCCTTTGATCACACCCCATGTTAACTCCTTCCAATGCCATTAGTACAGTGCCAGTGGGGTTTTTTTAGCACTGATCACTGTATTGGTGTTACTGGGGATGTCAGTGACACCAAGTCAGTTCCCCTCAGTGTCAGAATGCCCACTGCAGTCCCGCTATAAGTCACCGATCACCGCCATTACTAGTAAAAATAAAAGAAAAAATTCCAGTATATATACCCCCATTTGTAAATGCTATAACTTTCACGTAAACCAATTAATTTACACATATTGGGATTTTTTTAAGCAAAGACATGTCGCAGAATACATTTTATCCTAAATTTATGACAAAATTAGATTTTTAAAGTTTTGTTACTGGACATGTTTAATAGCAAAAAGTCAAATATATTGGTTTTTTTTTTCAAAATGGTTGGTCTTTTTTTTATAGCGCAAAAATTAAAAAACACACGGGAGGTCAAATACCACCAAAAGAAAGCTCAATTTGTGGGAAAAAAAGGATGTAAATTTCATTTGGGTGCAGCATTGCATAACCGCGCAATTGTCAGTCAAAATAACGCAGCGCTGTAATACAAAAAATGGCCTGGTCAGGACGGGGGGTTAATCCTCAGGTGGGCAAGTGGTTAAAGTGGTAATAAACCCCAAACCAAAAATTTAATATGCTGCAAATTACCAACCAAGGTGGTGGCTGTAGTAGTTTTCTTTTTTAAGCTTTTTTCCATCTGTTTTAAACTGGTGATTGGGTCAGTAACACACCTCCTTTATTAGAGTGCCCCCACTCTGGGCGAGAAGAAGCACAGGGGCAGCAGTATTTTCAGTCTGGGAAGGGAAGATAGATTAACTATCATATTTAGATACACTAACAAACTGAAGCAAAGCGTCAGCTACAACTTTATAAGCAGTTACAGCAACATTTTTTTTACTTTGGGATAAAGGTTTTATGTGAATAAATGAAAACTGATCATTTTAATTACCCCTGCCAGTGGTAAATGGTTTGTCTCATTTCTCTAACTGCTACATCTGTAAGAGAGTATGTTCTGTTGAAAAAACAACAGGCTTACTGGCCAGATCGCCAGGTGAAAATAAGGGAAAGAAAGCCTCAAAAAGAAAACTAATGCAGCCACCACATCTAAGAATTGGTAAGCTGCAATATAATAAAGGTTTGCTTTTAGGTTTAATACCGCTTTAAAAAAAAGGGCCTTTCATAATCATTGTTGCAAAAAAAATTTAATATTAATGCATACTTTTAAACATTTTTTTAAATTCTGCCAAATTAGTTTATAAAGTGTACAATTCCTTGATGTTGTAAAATGTTCCTTTCTATCTGAATTAGATAGAATGCGCTGGCCATGTTATCTGGATTTAGGGTGGCTCCTTCCCTTGCAGGATGCTATGGAGTCACCCTTGTATGAGGGAGGCTCCAGGCATAACATGCATACTCATAAGGACATACGTACAACCCTGGACACCGATTGTCTGCGTCCAGGGGCATACGTCCACAGGCATACCCATGTTTACAGCCATATCCTAAAATTAATTTGTGCAGGCAGCTATATGCAGCATCTGTGGCTCCCAGGTCCAGAATATAGATGTATTTTACATCATAAAGCTCAACAGGCCCATGTGTATGAGTCTGTAAGTAAGTGTTTTTATCCTTTTATACATTAAAAATTCTGTGCTGGAGTTGTTCATCAGGGTGCTTAGATCCATTAATTAAAAAAGTGTGAGTTTTTAACACTGCTGTAAGAATATGCACACCATTTATAAATCTGACCATAAAGCATATTTCAGTTTTTTGTGCTTTCTAGAAGTAGATTATTTTTTTGGATAGAGTACAGTAGGATAAGAACCCCTGTCAGGTTTTAACAGCTAAGGCTCCATTAGAGAGGTTTTAACTTCCTGTTCTGGTGACAACACTTTCGCCAGGCCAGACCTGAAGGGAAATATTGATTATTTATTTATTTCAGGTACTTATATAGCGCCATCAATTTATGCAGTGCTTTACATATATATTGTACATTCACATCAGTCCCTAACCCTCAAGGGGCGTACAATCTAAGGTCCCTAACTTACAGTCATACATACACATACTAGGGCCAGTGTAGACAGGAGCCAATTAACCTAGCAGCATGTCTTTGGAGTGTGGGAGGAAACCGGAGTACCTGGAGGAAACCCATGAAGGTACAGGGAGAACATGCAAACACCAGGCAGGTGGCGCTGTGGTTATGATTTGAACTGATGACCCTAGTACTGTCAGGCGGAAGTGCTAACCATTTAGCTACTGTGATAATAGAGGAGGGCTAGAGCCCTTATCAGCTTTTTTTGCTGTGTCCCTTTTGTAGATTTACCCTTTCTTCCTGTCTGATAAACTGTTGTCACCAGTACAGTAAGAAAAAAAATCATTCTAACAAGGCCCTGGATAAAAGTAAAGCCCAAGATGAGTTCTAACACTTGTTTTTATTTTTTGTATGTATGTGTATGTCCAACAAAAAACATTTTTGGTGGACATACACATCTGTTTATATTTGTTTTGGGGACTTCCTATTATATTTTCAACTGTAACCCCTTGACGCCGATGTCACACACATATATGCGGCCTTGCAGAACTGGGCTTTTTTCCGTGTGGCCGCATATTTGCGTACCTGTCTTTGTGCTGGGAGCGCGCAGCACTGCACGCTCTCAGCACAAAGACTGTGGTGTCATTGAGAGCCCCGGGTCCCGTTTTAACGATTGGGACCCCGGACTCCCGATTCCGGGGCACATGATCACTGTGATAGCCTCTGATTGGCTATCACAGTAATCAGTCACTGTGAAGCCCGGCCCCCTTGTTTTTTTCTCTCTCTATGAATGGAGGAGAGAGATACATTGTATCTCTCTAACTCCTGGCATAGAGAGGAAAAAAAAAAAGATAAATAGATAAATATTAAAAAATAAAATAAAAATAAAGAAAAAATACCTAGATCAAGGTTTGATCTACAGTAGTTCAGAGCCAGGGTTATTGTTGGGGCCAAGGTCAGAGTCAAAGGTCAAGGTCAAAAGGTCAGGGTCAAAAGGTCAGGATTTAAAAACAAAATTGGTATCAGTGTCAGTGTCAATGTCAGTGTGTTTCAAGTGAAAAAAAAAAAGACAAAAACAAAATGCGCACTATTGTTTCTGGGCTGTACTACGGGTGCAAACAACAAATAACATACACATATATGGTATCGCTGTGATCGTCAAGAGCTGGAGAATTTATTTTGGGTTGTTCTTTGGTGGTAGGTTATGGTATGGTAGTAACAAGTAACAAGAAACACACACAGCTAAATTAAAAAATGATCTTACTATTTTAGGCCAGTTTTCCTTTGATAATAAACACAAATCAGGAGATATCCATTACCATTGACCACCAAATGAAAGCCCAATTTGTCCTGAAAAAAATGAGGTATAATTCACCTGGATGTACAAAGTAGTTGTTATGATATGTACGGTTTTACTAACAAATGTCAACATTGCAAAATTGTGCTTAGGCATTTAGATTTGTTTTACCCTTATGCATGAAGGGGTTAACTTTCAACTTCGTAATTTTATGGAGAATGCAGATGGAGTAGCAAGAACAGGTGAAAAGAGCATCCAATCCTCCAAAGTAAGCAGAGCCACTCAGAGATATAAGAAATCAGTAGGTGATCAGGTTAGAAAACTCCACCCATAACCTGAAATATCATTTCTGGGTTTACTAATCCTTTAATCTGACAACTGATATTAGATGGCAGCTGGACATGGCCACTGACCTTCATATATTTTTTTTACAATATTTGTAATATCATTGATGTTTGTACTGCACTAACATACCCAACCATGGCATTATCTGCAGTACGGAGGTTGCATGTTCTCTCTGTGCCTGAGCTTTTACCCCTGTACAAATTATTAGTAAGACCTCATCTGGAATATGTAGTGCAATTTTGGGCACCAATTCACAAAAAGAACATTGGGGAACTGGGAAAGTGCAGAGAAGGGCAACCAAACTGATAAGAGGCATAGAGGAGCTCAGCTATGAGGAAAGATTTGAGGAACTGAATGTATTCTCTTTTGAGAAGAGGAGATTAAGGGGGGATATGATCAACATGTATAAATACATCAGTGGTTCATATAGTGAACTCTGTGTAGAGTTATTAACCCTGAGGTCATCACAGAGGACAAGGGGGCACTCTTTACGTCTGGAGGAAAAGAAATGTAATCTCCAAACACGGAAAGGTTTCTTCACAGTAAGAGCTGTGAAAATGTGGAATAGACTCCCCTCAAGAGTTGGTCCTGGCCAGCTCAGTGGATTGCTTTAAAAAAGGCCTGGATTCTTTCTTGGATACACAGAATATAACTGGTTACTAACATTTATAGGTAAAGATGATCCAGGGAATATGTGATTGCCTCTCGGGGGACCAGGAAGGAATTTTTTTCCCCTGCAGGAGCAAATTGGATCATGCTTTGCTAGGTTTTTTTGCCTTCCTCTGGATCAACTGTGGGTACAGGATTATAACTTTTTTTTTTTCTATGGTTGAACTAGATGGACTTTTGTCTTTTTTAAGCCAGACTAACTATGTAAACTGTTGCATATATTTGCGGCGCTATAATAGTACCTGTAATAAATAATAATAATAAATGCCCAATTCCAGTCAACCCTGGGAAGCTACTGTCTATGTCCCAATAAGGATTTAAAAGTTCTGTGTCTCTATAGAAGAATTTCTAGTTTCTACCTAGATCTACATTTTTAAACTTTTCTGCTTGATTCGCTGATATGATATAAAACAATTATTTTTATTAAATATTATTATACAGGATAATATAGCGCCAACAGTGGCGCAGCGCTTTACAAAATGAAGGTAGCATTACAGGTAAGTACAATTTGGTACTTTTAATTTCCAGAGGGCCCTGCTCGTAAGGGCTTAGCCAATGTTCTAGGAGACTCCATGATGCCTGGCTTGTAGGGGACACACTCAAATACAATGAAGAGGTTCTTTACTAGAAAATCCCAGTTTGTGGATTTACTTTTTCATCTCTCTGCCCCAGACCAATAGTTCAGTAAGAGGCTAGGGAACCCTCAAACATGGCACAAATTAGTTAAATATCTCAATGTAAAAGTCCTTTAGAGCTCTGCTTTAATAGGTTGTAGTTTACTTCCTTAGACATGGTGGTTGCATTAGTTTGCATTAAGCCGGCCAGATTTGAACCATCTATGGGCAGGCTGATTGTACCCAATGTGATTGTTTTACGACTTGAGTACAACCAGCCTGT